ATATGCCCCTTCCCAACCTTTGGAATTCCAGAGCTACCACCCCCCCCCCCTAAAATTGTGTATTCAAGGTCTCAGGGTTACAACACAGTGCTCTTGTCCTGAGAGAGAGTGACAATCGGTTTACATGCTAATTCAAAACAGTTCAATACTGAGGCTTATCAGTAATACCCTCAGTCAACCAAGCTCTAATGAGGAAAGGAAGAAGACATTTACTACATAGACTTCCAGTGTGGTGTTCTAAAATCAAACATAATAAGCAAAGAGCATTTATCTTTTATTTTTATTTTTTCCCCGATCAGTGCAATAAGCGTTTATCCTGGATCACTTCCTCTTTTCAGCCTCAAAAGCAACACGCTCTTCATCCTGTAAGAAAATTTAAGGTCCTTATATTGTGGTGCATTTTAGGCCCTTGGATGAAGGGAGGAGATATATGTAAAGAAGGAAAAGGAAAATGACTGCCCGACATCGAGAGCTTCACATTTGGAAGTACAGGATCTTAACAGAAGAAGATGATAACATCTTCACTGAAGCAGAGAAAGAAAAGGAATCATTATCTTAAGATGTCACAACTCTGCAACAATTTTAATACCCTTCATTAAAGAGCAGACTATGACCAGAAAGAGAGACTGAGTTTGTTAAGATACACCATACTACAACATGTGATTCGCGGATTGTAGTATGTGACTAGAAAATTCAATCTATATGCATAAATCATAAATCTGTTTGTTGTTTGAATTCAGGCAAGAAGGAATAAGTGAAATGATGCTATAAAGGGCATTCTAGATATAACAATTCACAAGAAACCATATGTTACCTGGAATCCTTGAGACTTGGCACCCAGAAATATAGAACAGTTTGCAGCTCCACATAGACAACGAACAGTTGCACCCCCATACCACTCAAAATTATAGTTATATGCCAACTCCGTTCCAACAGATATATCTTGCTTTGCAAATATTCCTACCCTTGTTTCCCCTAACACTGTCCATTTCCTTGTTTCACAATTTGGATGGCTGGGAAATTCAGGAACACAGTATCAGTGCTGTCATTCCAAACCAATTAACCATAATAATATGCCACTGACTGACCAAGATCTGCATCTTATTTCACTTTTTAACAATTTGACAACTGACATTTCAGCACTTACCAAGAATGATTTATGAATCTTGCAAAACTTCCCTTCCGGGTGGCATCAATGAAATAGTTAGCATTCAGAGAAATTATGTACGCATCCTTAAGCCCTGCACAAATCATGCGAAATTGTAGTAGTGATCTGTAGATGCATTGACAACCATCCCCAATGCTGATAACTTACCATGAGCTTCATAAGCCTGAGACCTTTTCTTCGCTTCTTCAGATGATATCACTTCTCCAGAGTATTCAATGATAAACTGTCCAGCCTAATCATGTAAAGAGAGAAGAACAATTGGTTGATTGCGGCTAATTAAGAATAAGCCATAATTACAGTTACTGAGCAAAAGCCTCTGATATATTGCAGAGAACTCAAATTTGATAGGCTCAGCTATGGACATTTTCTCTTCACGTGATCGTCAAGAAAAGAAAATTCTTTTATAAGAAAAGGTAAAAGAAAGAAAAATCTTTTTATATATGCTGAAACTATGCTATAAAAAATTAATTGGTCAGCCGAAAAGAAAATAGGCTGGTTGCTTCAGCAGAATTACCTTTATATTCTCATCAGCTAAAAGACCCCAACCACGCCCTTCAGTCCTGAACAACTTGGTTTTCGCGTATTCACATTTCTGGAATCTCTGTGGATAGAAAGCAAAACACTTCAAAACAATATACCTTAAAATATCTAAAATGACACTCACTCTGTATCTTTCAAATACGGCACTGAGTAGAGTCTCCCATTAGTTATTGAAGCAGTCAACCGCATATAGGGAACTAGAAACTCCTACTTGCAGTAGATGAAAGGATAAATTAAGTGACGAAAGAAAATTCTAAACACGCAAAGAACAAAATGACAAGCAGCAATTATTTTTACTTTTAGGTTTTTGTTTATCAAGGAATAACTAGGTAAAAAACTAGGAGGAATTATGCTATACAGTAACTGCTCGGAACAAAGCAAGTTCAACCAAACAGTGATTCCCAGTACCTCGACATATCTGATAGATGAACCACTAGATTCCAAAGCATCATCTAATCACACTGCGATAAAATAGGAAACCTGCTGTACAAATATAGTGATGCCAGAGTACTTGATAGTTGCATTTTATCACAAAACATCAACCAAACCCAAATATCACACCTTTCCAAAGAATCTTCTTGCTACAACCAAATCTTTAAACAAATGAGTCACTACTTACAGTTATAAAGAGCACACGCTAGGGTGTCACATATGTAACGATAACACGCTTTGCTGCACGAGCATAGGATGAAAATTTTATGCAACTCAGCTTCCTCATATCACACATAAACCTCTAGAATGAGCAACATATGGTGTTTTAAACAGCCAAAAGATGTTTATAATCAAAGGTATGAAACGAGAGAAAAGAAGGGAGAAAATGTTCAGTAGTTAGCGGTTTACAACATACAATAGAGCTCCTTATAGGAGTTTAGCCTACACAAAATAAGGAAGATTTCCTAGTTACATAGATGCCTAATGATAGACTTATAGTACAATAATTAAGAATATTTCATATAAGATTTGGTACAATTAATCCTGTACATATAAGAAAAATATAAACATATTCTAACTATCACAATCAAGTTTATTTTTTGATCAGGCAATCAATAGATCATATGCGCCGCTCTTACCACGTGAATACTTGATTTCTAGAATTTTTTGCTGACAACAAGACTTGATTCGACAAGTTTTCTAGAGTGAAATAACAAGACAGGTTAGTCAACATGAAATATTTACTTGACATGTTAAATAATGTGGCTGTTTATGTGGCAATTGATGGAGACTAGTGATGCGCAATATATTGCTGATGTGGTTGGCGTGATAGCGTCAATGACTCGATCACATGTACTTCTAAATGGTAGCTCATTGACTTCACATGTCTGTCAATAACTGAAGAAATGTGAATTGAACAACTGGTTCGAAATATTAAGGAATTAAGTCTTCCTCAAACCAACCAGAAAAGAAAAAAGTAAAAAAATTCAAGAATAATTTGACATCAGCTGTAAGAAAGGATGTGTGGAATTATCGATCAAAGAATATGAGGGCTACCCCTAACCCTGTATGGGAAGCAATCACTAGTAGGTCAGGACCACAAGCATAAACCTGTATTTTAGAATAGTTTTACAGTACAGAGGTGGCTTGAAGTGGGCAAAACTTACCCAATGGAAGGTGAAAGAAGAGAAGCAACAAATGGACA